TCGATGCAGTGTTCCCCCTGGGACTCTGACTAGGCGTCGCGCGTGGTGAACCCGATGCGCCATCGCATGCCGCTGGCGGCTGCGAATCCACGCTTGGCTTCTCTTTGACCCACAAGAGGTTAGAGAGGATAGTGGCAGATACACATGTTCTAGTGAATGTGCCAAGTGGCCCGCGTAGGCCAGTGCTTCTGCGGTTCCAACGCTCGTCTGGTGCCGAGTGCCTGGGAGTGCCCAAGCAATGCCAGCCGCCGCCAGGGAAGCGCATTCTTGGACTTCTGCCAGAGCTTGTAGGCGGAAGATATGCCGACATGAACGGGAGATTTGGCAGTCTTTTTTCCACGTTGGGCACAGCACCTCACGAGCAGCAACTTGCCCTACGCGGGGAGCTACGTCAGGAAGTAGCAAATGTTTTGAATGAGGTATGCGACCAATGGAATGACCTCGCTTGGAAGGGCGTCTTGGCGCTCGCAGGATATGATGCACCTGAGCTGACAGGTAGTACTGAGCCTGAGTGGGGGATGAATGCCCTCAGGGAAGTCTCACTCGCGCGCTCGCGCCGCAAGCTCGATCCACAGCGCGCGCTCTCATGGACTACTCGCCGACTTGGAGAGACCAGGACGCTTCATTTGGAGGGCAAGACTACGACGCGCTGGTATAAACTAATGAAGGACCCGGTGATGCTGCCCAACAGGAAAAAATCCATGTTGGCGTTGTTGGGGGGATGTGGCCACGCTTTGGAACTCGATCCTCCACATTTGGCAGCCTGACCAAAACCCATCATGATGTTGGGCTTGTCTGATTGCAGGGGGCGCCGGACTTCGCGCGGCGCACCCATGACTCGATTCCCGCACCCACCCCGAAGATTCGTTCTCGTGCATGGAAGCAGTGGTTTGACGAGGCCATGCCAGAGTTGCGCATGGATATCTACTGGGCCAGCTGATACCCCGCATTCCGAAGTTTGAGGGCCACGCGGAGGACTGTTTTGCGCGTGCGCGTCGTTGGGTGCGAGACTACAAGCAGAACGCGGCAGGTGGGGCAAGGCGTGGAGATGTGGCCCGGGTGTGCGCGAGCCCGCGTCGGATACTTGGCTTTGCGCGGCTATGGGGATTACTTTGCCAGATGGCATCATTTACCATAGCAAAAGGCTTAAATGGCGCACGTGCCGGCCCGGCTGGTGGCACCCCAGGCATTATTTTGTAGTGGATGAGCATGCCCTCGTCATCTTCGGCGAGGTGCTTCTTCTCATGGGAATGGTTGGTGCGGCCCAAATTTCACGTCAACGTCTCATCATTCAACTCATGCATGCGCCAGCGGGTGGGCGTCGTACCCTTGGCTTCTATCCAGCGCCGATTTGAATGTGTGGGAGATTTGGCAAGAGGAGACTCGAGCAATGAGAGGTCAAACGTGGTCTTGGCCCAGCTTGTCCTGTGGGGCATCATCGAGGCCCAGGAGATACAGAGCGGCGGCAAGCTCTGCCGGCAGAGGGCAGTGCTAACGCGGACTTGCATTACATGTCAGTGATATGGGAGTTGTTGCAGTTCTACATGCATTTGCAATGGGACCATATCATTGCGAATGTGACCCTGGCAGATTGCCCGATTGCGGCGGGGCGGCATTCGTTATCTACTTATGCGTGGCAGAGACGACCGAAGTATGGGTAGGTTCTCATGGTCCTCATGCGCCCGGGGCGTGGCATTGTCGCAGGGGTTTCTGGCGCGACTTTCGAGGCGAAGTTGGCGTTGCTACCTATGATTGGGGAAGAGATGCGCGGCGGGCCAGGGGGCGGATCCATGTTATCGCTACGCGCCGGCGACCTGTCGCAACGCAAATGGGGGCCAGGCATCCTGGAGGTGCTTCAGTTGATGAACTAAGGCGCGCGCAGAGTAAGACGCATGCCACAGGAAGAACTGCCCCCCCCCCCCCCCCCCGGCCACGCACAAGCTGAGCATGACGGCGCTGAGTGGCAGGGCGATGTTGTTGGCGAGAAACAGCTCTTGGCATTATGGGTGGTCCTAGAGAGTGCGTCATCAGGAATCTAGGCATCGACTGCGCTGGCGGGAAGCACAAGGCCCACCCGAAGGCTCACAGCACGCGAGCTCCAAGGTGGATGAAGATGGCGGCCGCGCGCAGGAAGCTCGAAAACGTGAAGATGACCAACAAGGGCCACAAGTCGAGACTTGCAGTTGTCAGCGCAGCTCCAAATGTGGTGTATGGCGCGGAGGTCAACGCGTTCAGCCCAGCTCAGATGCCCCGACTCAGGTCTCATATGTCAACGTCTCGTGGGCAAAGTATGCGCGGATTGAACATGGAGTTTGGCTGGGCATCGTCTAAGGTTAAGGACCAAGTGCATGTGGCGCCCGCTAGAATCGAGAGATATTGCGCTGAATGGTGGATGTCCACTGCGACGAGGGGAGATCTGCGACCTATGCGCGCTGATGCACTGGGAGTTGAACGGCTGGCCAAGTTGCGCAGAACAGCCATGGCCAGGTTGCATCCAAACACCGCTAATACATTTCGGCTTGACGAGAGTCGGAGCCCAATAAGTGACCTTCTCCTGTGGTGTCGCGAGGTTGGTCGGCCCCTGGAGGGCCCATCTGAGTTTCGGGGTCGCAGAGGTCATTTGCTGGGTGCCACCACCCCAGCCCCGCTTATTTTTGTTAAAACCTAAGCAGTTTGAGCAGCAATATAGGGACGTTCGAATCCAGAATGTCGTGAGAGCGGCTTGCGAAGCCCACCCCAACCCTGGCCCAGAGGCGTTCTTGAGTCAGGGCGCGTGGTCGGAGCTTTGCTTGAAAACGCTGAACAGCAACCGCCACCTCGCCCACGACCGGGCCCATTGCTGCAGGCAGATTTTTGGCGGGCGTGTCCCCTCAGCGTCTGACTTCAAAAAGTGGGGTTACAGCGTGGACCCTCTGTGCCCTCATGGATGCGGGGAGGAAGTCACGGTCTCCCACCGGTGTTTTGAATGCAATTTTGACAGGGAAGCCAAAGCTTACATTTTTCCGGATGGCGTCTTGCAGGAAGCTTTCGCAGCAGGCCCCACCAGTCTTCTGGTGTCCAGGTGCAGGTTGGCTCGGATTGATGTGCCTGCCCCGTCCGAGACCTGCGCCATTTGCTACATCAAGGATGGTGTGCAGGTAGAGCTGTTGGAGTTCGACCCCGATGATCGGTTGTGTGAAGATGGCTCCTTCCTCAGACCTAATGGGGCTAGGGCGGGTTGGGGCGTTGCGCGCTCGTCCGTGGCAGGAGACCAGATCCGAAGAATATATGGGGGTGAGCCAGACGCGCCAGGGCAGAGCCCTGCCGTTGGCGAGCGCAGCGCTATTATGCAAGCGCATGTGCACATCGAGCAGACGTCTGGAGCCATGAGGCCCTGAGGCGTGGATTTGAAGGCCCTGCTTAGGGCCCCGTCTTCCCTGTTTTTTGCCCTGGGCCCAAACAACGACTGCGGTCACTTTCGGAGGCAGGTTGCGCGAGAGTTGGGCCCCTCGAGCTGTGCCAGTTACCACAAAGTGCCATGGTGCCAACATCGCAGGGCGAATTTCGTGGGGGAAAAGATTGGGTGGGCCCAGGACGTCCTGGAGAATTTCGTTCCGGATTTCGAGGTGAATTTTGTGCGGGCTTCATTTTGGCCACGTATGAATACCAAAAAGAACCCACGCGAAAGTAACTTCGTTTGTCGCTCGCCGTTTCGGGCAACATTCCATGCAGAAATCGACGCAGAAATCCGCTGCAGCACGTATGCAAGGCCGGCACAATGAAACGTGATGGTCCACTGGGAGGAGAGCGAGGCTGCCGACGCGGCCGACCTGCGGGACATCCGCGGGAACAAGGCCGCGGACTGGCTGGCAGGACCAGGCTCCCGCAGGCAAGAGTTTGACCAGGCAGCCATCGATGTGCTCAGCGCAGCGCAGAAATCATTCAGGGCCTTGTTTTTTGGCATGGATAAAATCCTCGCCCTGTCCCCCCCCGCCCTCCGAATTTTATTCAGATCAGCAAGGGATTTGTACGTCCTCGCCGAGGTAGGCCCATGAACCCACATGTCCCTCGCGGGCGCGTGGATCATTGGATTTGGTTGTGCTGTTCAAGGAAGGCCTCTGCACTCACTAAGACCCCTGCCGAGCCTTGACCCCGTCCCTTCTCACTGTCGTGAGGGATCCCGATAAGTTCGGGCACCGCCTGCACGCGTCTTGGGTTGTGGGCTCGGGCTTCCCTGCGGTGTGGTGCACTCGATGTGGACATTGTGCGACGTCAAATTCTCTTTCTGTGGGGGGGAATTGTGTAGAGAACCTCAAGTGTGAAAACAGAAGGCAGCTTATGAACGGTAGGCTTCCGATGTCACCATGTCTGCTGCACGGGACCTTTCAGTCAATCACCGTGTGTTGGGCATGTGCAAGTGTTTTGCGTCTTTGTCCCCTGATCTGGGCTAGTGCCCAAGTGATGTGTTGCGCATGCATGACTCACCGCTGCTGCTTTCTCTGGGTCTTTATAGTAGTAGGAGGAGGAGGGGGGGAGGAGGAGGCAAAGGAGGAGGAGGAGGAGGAGAAGGAGTAGGAGGACGATAACAATGAGGATGAGGGGGAACAGCGCAATAAGGAAAACGATGATAGTAACCATAAGAAGAATACTAGTAATAATAATAATAATAATACCAATAATAATACTAATACTAATAATAATAATAATCATAATAATAATAGCAATAATAATAATATTACTAATACTACTACTACTACTACTACTAATAATAATAATAATAAGGTAATCATCGTAGTAACACTAATGCTCGTATTCGTAATTCGTAAAACGAGGAAGAAAAGGAGGAAGAGGAGGAAAAGGAGGGAGGCAGAAGGCAGGGAGGGAGGACAATGGAGGCATGCTGCGAGGAGCAGGGCGACGGAAGGACGCGTCGGGGAAGAGGATCAGGAGAATACGGAGAAAGAAGAGGAGGAGGAGGAGGAGGAGCCTGCGTTCCTGTGCCACAGCACTGGAAACCGAAGGTGTTCCGCAGCCTCGCGGGCCCGGCGGGGGAGCCTGCGGACTTGAGCCGCGCGCTGGCCAGCGAGGCAGGGCGGCGTGAGCCTTGCTGTCGTCGTCGTGGTTGGTCGCGGTCGCGGTCCTGGTCGCGGTCGCGGTCCTCGTCGCTTTCCTGCTCGTGCTGATCATTCCTTGCTGCTCCTGCTGATATCCCTTCTTCCCCTCACTCCTTGTCATTCTTCTGCTCCTTCCCTGCTTCCCTTTCTTGTTCACTCTTTCTGCTCCTCATTTGCCTCCTCCTCCCCCTCATCATCAGTCATAAGATTCGGGAGGCTTGCGCCATCCGACCGGCCGCCATACAGTGGCTTCCGGATTCTGGTGTGTTGGCTGGCACGTCCCGTCGTGTTGCTCGCGCGGAGTCGTTTCTGATTCGTCCTCCTCCTCTTCCGCGTTTGCTGCGAGGCGTGTTGGGGGCCTCTGGTTATCTTGTGGGGGAGGGCTGCCGGGGTCCCTGTGGGTCCCCCCTCTTGGGCCTCTCTTGGGCCCCCCTTGGGGCCCTCTTGAGGTTTTGTTTGCCGCCTTGGGGCCTCTTGGGCCTGCCTTGTCCCACTCGTCCGTCGAGTCCTCTCATCTTCCCCTCATGTCATGCTTCCCCTGTTCGTCCTCACTGCTTCTCTCACGCTGCTGCCGCCTCTCCTCGCCCGTCATTCCTTTCCCTCCTCCCCCTCCTCACGCCTCGACCTCATCAGAGACCCTCCGTATCCTCATCATTCCTCCCCTTCTTCCGTTTCCTCTTAGTTCTCCGTTCTTTCCCTCTCCTCGTCGTTCTCCTTAGCTTCTCGCTGAGGGTCCTCCTCCGTCCTCTTCCTCGTCCACGTCTCTGTCCTCATCGTTGTGGTTGTTGGTCCTTGCAGTCGTTCGTCGTGGTCGTCGTCTCGGGTGTCCTCCTCCTCCTCCTCCTCCTCCTCATCCTCCTCACCGTGCATCCGTAGCCATTTTGGCTCAAGGCCAAATGGCGTTCCATTCGCTGCCTCAGCGGGGTAGGCTCCCGAGCGATCCAGCATCCAGTCGTATGCCGCCACAACCTCGGGTTAGCGGCCGCCCTTCCATATTGGCGCCCTCGCTGGGCAAGCTGTTGGCCTTCGCCGCGCTGTGCTGCACGGGGATCTTCCTTACAGTGGCTCGCGAGCCAAGCTGCCACGCTCAGCTACCTCCTCTTGGGCCTGTGCCACAACCGCCACGTTCTGGACAAAAATCTCTGCAGGTGCTTGGCTTCCAGCTCCCGCTCCCGCCACGACCTGCTACTTCGACATCATGTCGGCTGCCTCATCTGACCGAAGCCAATCCGCATCAAACGGACCCACGTTTCGCAGCAGACGCGAAGACCGCCAACATCGTCGCGACGAGCCTCGCCGCCCTGAACGTTTTGACGACCGCCAACCACGCCGTGAAGAGCCTCGCCGGGATGGGCGACGTGCAGCTCGAGAGCATCTCGGACACCCCGGCCACACGGGCTTCAGCAGCCAAGGCCACGCAGGTGTTCCCTCACGTGCTTCTGGTCGGAACGCCGCGAGACCGCCGCCCACCTCAGCGCGATCCTCAGAAAGATCAGGAGGCCGTGCCGCTGCCGAAGCCACCCCCGTGGCCATGGAAGATGAAGATATGCCACCGCATGATCTTCCGCATGCTGACCCGATCCTGGGCGCCGCCGACCCCTGGGCCAACGGCTCCTGGGCGCCGCCGACCCCTGGGCCAACTGGAACTTCAGCTCACAGCTTGCGCGCGACATCGAGCTGGCTCCGACATTCCTATCTCAAGAAGTCGCCGCCGCAGCCGCTGCACAAGCCGCGCCAGTTCATGGGCGCGCCGCACCTCCTCAAGAGCAGCAACCCACCCCTCCTGAGCGACATGAACCGCTTCCTGGAAGACCTGAAGAGCTTGACGTCGCCCTTCGTGAACTCATGCAACGTCAAGTCGCCGCAGCCGTTACTCGTTTTCAAGGCCAAGCCGACCAGTTACTCGCCGAATCTCGTGAAAGTTTCAGACATCCCGTGCAACAGCAGCTATCGCTACTGAATGAAGAGTTGACGCTCTACACGACGAAGTTGCCCGCACCCGCAGAGAACAAGGCCGCCAAGCTGCTGAACACCAACGCATGTGGCAACATATCGACCAGATGCGCGACACGCTCGCCCTCGCCGAAGCCCAGGCGCCGATCGCTGACCTCCGCCGCCTTGCCGAGTGGGACCGACAGCCCGACCCGACGCTCTCCACGATCGGCAGCCAGCGTCTCATCGCGGCAAACCTGCTGCTCAACGACCTCCAGGAGTGGATCGCCGCTGGCAACCTGCAGCCAAGCCATGCCGAACTTCTCGGTGACTCACCTGCTCGCCGCTTCATTCTACAAGCCAAAGAAGATAAAGCTGTTGCAGTGCCTCGCGCCCTTGCCTTACCACGTGCCCTCCGAAACGCCGCTGGAAAGCGGAAAGGGTTTTCATCGACAGGTATCACTGGGCAGCATTGCGACATACACTTCAATCCCGACGCGTCTCCCAAGCAGATCCGTACCGAAGTTCAAACACAGAAACCACTCCAGCTTATGCAGCAACGATACCCTGGCACGAGATGGTGAGCGTTCAGGAACGAATGCGAAATGCACGCTGGCTCAATGCCCATTGTCAAAATCTTGGTCAGGGGTCAGGCCGATCCGCCCATTACCCAGTGGAGCGACCAGGCCGCCGACCACCCGCAGTTCCAGCACATCGATCGCGGCAACATCACCACTTCCAGCCATGCGCCCTTCTGCCGACACGGAGTCGCCCACGTGGCGCCCCTAACCATCATTGGGCTCCGCGGAGGGTTACGACGCCACCGAGTCGACCACTATCGCCACGTGGAACGCCAGAGCCTTCGTGTGCTACAAGAGCAAGCGCCGCCGTCGCAAGCAGGCCGCCCTTGCGGAGCACATGAAGCGCAAGTGCGTCATCACGCTGCAGGAGGTCCACGGCTCGGAGGCCATGCTCCGCACCTGGGTCGACACGCAGCCGTGCCCCTACAAGCTCTTCTTCTCTGAGTTCCCGCGCGCCGACGGCGACGACCCGACTGCCGCGGGCGGCGTCGCTGCGCTCACCCCCTGGTTCACTCCGATGGAGATGGGGGCAGCTGCGGCCGAGCCATATCCCGCTATTCGCTCATGAAGAACTCGTTCTTGGTCGAGTCCAGTTGGCGGCCGGCGCGCGCGCCGTCGCGCTCGCCACCTTGGTCCTTAGGAATGTGCATAATCACGAGATCGCCGATGCCGACCGCCGCAAGGTCCAGCTGGCTTGGGAGCTGCGTCGCACCTGCATCGCATGCGCACCTTCATCGCGATCGGGGACTTCAATGTAGCTAGCCGCCCGCCGCCGAGCTTCCTGCAGCCGCAGCCGCGGCGCGCCAGGCTGGCGCTGGGCAACGGCATGCGTCAGCAGCAGTCCTTCTGGAAGTCCCTCTTCGACTCCATGCTTGAAATCTAGACCGAGCCCCCCGCGCGCCTCAGCCGCTCGGACATCGCAGCCGCGACCATCGACCGCATCTTCGCCAGCCCGCCCTCGCGCGCCACCCAGGAGCTCTCGATCCACGCGAGCGTGGTGCACGACGCCGCGTTGCTCTCGGGCCATCGCCTTAGCGACCGCGCTATCGTCACTTTCTTGATCGGCATCAGGCCGCGCACCCCGCAGGACGAGCAGGCCATCCACCCTTCGATCTCTCGCGATCCGAATTGCGCCATTTACCTCCAGAAGCCCCTGGAAGCCACCAACTTCAAATGCGCCTCGTTGGACAGCGGATGGCGCGCCCAAAAGCGCCTCATGACGGAGGCCGCCCAGCTGGTTCGCGATGATTGGGCCCGCCGTTCTACTGGGGGCCCCAACGAGACAGGCCCCCCGGCTGGCATGGTCTACGCGATGCGCCCCCCCTCTCCCGAGCTGTGTGGCGCCGAGACTTTCAGCTGGCCCGCAGAGTTGCCTCCGCGACCGAGCTCGGCGCCAAGTTCGTCAACGTTTCCGAAGGCATCATCGCGATCAACGAGCCTGCTGTCTTCGCCGCACTCGCTTCGCAGCTCAACCGCGACTTCGAGGCGCGGCAACTCTCTCTTGCGCAGCCGCACAGCGCCCCCCTGGGCACGCTGGCGCCCGGGCCCCAGAGGAGCTCCGTCAGGTCCTTCGGACCGCCCGGCGTCGGGCTCTCCCATGGGCACCCTGGAAGCGCCGTCTCGCCCTGCAGGGAATCATGGTCACGGGCCCAGACGGCCCCAAGATAGCGAGAGAGAGAGAGAGAGAGAGAGAGAGATAGAGAGAGAGAGAGAGAGAGAGAGAGAGAGAGAGAGAGCGGCTCGATGGTCACCGCCCTGCGCGACCACTGGCAGCCCGTCTTCGCCGCCAAGCCTGTCGACGAGACCAAGGTCACCAACTGCATCCACACGCGCATGCCGAAGGGCGAGATCCTGGACATTGGGGCACCCGCGAAGCCGCAGATCAAGGCCTTCCTGCAGCGCACTTCGCCGTCAGCACCAGGCCCCGACTGCTTGCCGTGCTCCGCTTGGCTCGCGCATGATGCCTCGCTTACCCTCCTGGAGGACGCGTCCTTCTTCCTCTGCTCTGGCCAGTGCTACATTCGCGATTTGAATGATTCCGACTTCGCCTTCCCGCCGAAGGACGACAACGTTGTTGGCGAAGTCGCGACAGACAGAGCCCCTGGATATACTCGACCGCTCTCGCGAAATAGCACTGACATAAAGGCCATCGCTGGGGCAGCCAACTACCTCATCAATGGGCGCCCTGGCAGAGCGCACCCACGTAGCACAACAGGGCTTCGTGTAGAAGCGCAACCTCACCAAGCACATTGTTCGCTTCGGCTCTGAGATGCGGCGAGCAGGACTACTCCCGGGAGCTCTTCAATCCAAGCCTGTTTTCGCGAGCCTTCGACTTCTCTGCCACCTTCCCGTCTCTGGGACGGGTTTGGCTCTTCGTCGCGTTGGAGCAATTCGGGATCCCGTCTGGCCTCATGAACCTCTTCCGCGCGCTGTACTTTGCCCCGGACAGCTACGTCAAAATCGACGGCATCAGGCACTCCATGTTCGCCATGGAGTCTGGAGTTGCGCAGGGCTGTCCGGCTTCGGGCTCGGCCTGGGCCATCGCCATGGACCCGCTCATCCGCCACCTCGCCACGTTTGTGGAGCACCGCGACGGCGCGCCAGATCTGGGCGCTGGCTACCTCGGCGCGCGCGCGGACGACATCGGGCTGCTGACGTACTCCTTCGACGCGCTGCGCCGCGCATCCGAGCCCTTTGCCACGGCCGAGGAGCTTGCGGTCCTTTCGCTCAAGCCACCTGTCCCGCAGTCCGCTCAGGCCACATCTGTGGCTGCCGCTGCCCGCTCTGCCGCTGTCACTCTCGCGGGAGACCGGGGGCCGTTTGCCGATCGCCTCGCCGACACTTCTTGGGAGGAAGCCCCCCTTCTGAACGCGCCCCGCTGGCAGGCTGGCGCGCGGTCGCCCGCCTTCTGGTCGTCCCAGCAGTCCGTTGCGCAGTACTATCGCTCCCTCATCGGTGCCCAGCCTCAGAAGCCATTCGTCCGCCAAGCCGTCTCAGCTGCTATGTACGCCGCCCGCCTCGAACTGCGCGAGGCCGCAGCTGCGGCCCCGCCGCGTCGCCCGGAATGCCAGCGCACATTTGCGCGCAAGCTTGCAGAGCAAGCTTTCGATTCGCCGTTTACATCCACCTTGCTCAAGCGCATCTCGGCCTGGGGCCTCCAGGCGCCGTCGCCACCAGGAGAGCTACAAACGCGCTGGTCTGCACTCACTGAATCATTCAAAACGGTGCGCCCCAGCTGGCGCGGGGCCACATTTAAGACGCTCAGCGGTGGATGGGTTACCAGTGGCCGCATGCGCGTGCTCGCCCCAAAACTGTGCGTTTTCGGGTGCGGGAGCCAACCAAAATAATTTCCCCACTACCTCACCTGCCCTTCGCTTTCGTGCCTCCCCTGGTCCCCTGATCCTCGCCCCCTTCGGTCGACGCTCGCTGCCTGGGGCCTTGGGCCTGCAGCTGCGCACCCGCCCGAGAATCATAATCCGCTGTCGTTGCGCTCGACAATCGGGCGCATCACGTTAGCACTTCACCTCTACAACAACATGGAGCATCACGCTGACCCGCGCTCACGCCCTTCGGTGATGTCCGCAGCGAGCCGAGCTGCCAAGACACTACTCTATAGGTGAGAGAGCTCGCGACGGGCGCGGCGGACGTCACTATTTTCCCTCGTCTCGCCTCGTGCCCGCTTGCCTTCTTCTCGTCTCTTTCAGGGTACCTTAACTCCTCCTCATCGTGCCACCGCGCCTTCTTGCAACCTCGGCCTCCGATCACGCTGCTGCCCCCCGCCGTCCTGTCCATCCTGCTCCTCGGCCCGCTCCCGATCTTCGCTCGCTCGCTGGGGCTCCCCCGCAACGGCAGACAATGGAGGATCGCAGAGACGCGCAAGCAGTTCACCCAGGAGGAGGGGAGGGAGGCAGCCGGGCCGACGCAGCCTCGGGGTCCGCTCTAGCAGCCCAGGCCGCCTCCCTGGGAAACGGCATTCCCCCGCGGCGGAGATCGGACGTGGAGTGCTCCCCGGCACAACAGGCCAAGCGCCCCCCGCCCCCCCCCCCCGCTCCCCCCTCCCGGCAATGAGAGAGCAACGCGCTTCGCACGGACCCGTTGTGGTGGAACGACGCCCCGCCCTCCCGTAGAAAAACGCCTGCAGTCTCCACTTGGGCCCCGTCTTGTGGGAGTACAGCCGATGTGGGGCGCCCAGCGGATAAACGGGTACGCTCGACGTCGTGCAAACCCCTTGCCGTGGGACGGTATCTTGCTATTCCTCTTGTTCGTCATCCGTTTTCCCAGCCTCTTTCTTATCCTGTCATGTCGCCCTGCCTCCTGCTCCTCAACCTCTTTCCTTCCCCCTCTTCCTTTTTATTCCTCATGTGTCGTCCCTTCTTGCCCTCCGCGTCATCCTGGGTTTGTCGGATCCACCGACGCATCTGCAACCAATAGACGGGTTGCGTCTGAATGTGAACCTGAAGCGTGCTCTGTATGAACTACTTGTTTTCACGTGTACATCGATTGTATGTTGTTCCAGATGTGTGCGAGCAAGGTGCGCATGTGCGCGCGCATGCCATGTGCACAAGCATGCAGACACTGTTTGTTGTGCGTATATACACGTCGAAGGTGATTGTGTGCTTGAACATGTGTAGACATCTAGGTGTACCCACATCGGTGTACGCATATATATGTATACATTTTTATATATACATATATATATATATACACATATATATATATATAGTTGCGCGTATGTGTAAATCGAGGCCGCATGCGACGAGCCACTGTTGTCCCTTACCTTTTGGAAGCGTCTATGTGGCCAAATGATGGGCCAACGTCTGGCCAAACAATCGAGTTATGTGTTCTCTTAGCTGTTGCGCAAACCCTTGGAGGAACGCTTGGGGTAGGAACACAAAGGCGGGAAGGAGGGGGAGGAGGAGGGGGAGGAGGAGGAGGAGGAGGAGGAGGAGGAGGAGGAGGAGGAGGAGGAGGAGGAGGAGGAGGAGCGGGAGGAGACTGATGACGGGGGCCTCTTTGGCCTCCGACAGCTTTTTGGTGCCGCTTGGGGGCCTCTGGGGTCTCTTGGAGGCGTATTGCGCCGTCCTAGGGCTCCCGTGGCCCGTCTGCCGCCTTTCAGGGCCTCTCTGGGCAGTTTTCGTGGCCTCATGGGGCGTTGTAAAGGGGCCATCTTGGAGGTCTCTCGGCCGTCTTGGGGCCCTCTCGGGGCCGTCCAGAGGGGACAATAGGAGGATCAGGAGGAGGAGTAGCATCAGCAGGGATCTGGAGCACGGTAAGGGAGCCTCGAACTAAGCATGTGCAAGAGCAGCATGACCAGGACGAAGAACAGGAGGAACAGGAAGATGAGCATCTGGAGAAGGAGGCGAATTAACAGAGGAGTCGAATCCTCGGGAGGAGATGGTACCATTTTGTCTTCAGTCGCGCCCCGAGTTAGCGGAACCGGATCAGCAGCAGAAGCACACAGATGAGGCTTAGGATGATGTTGAAATTTGTGGTGTTGGTGAGGAGGAGGAGAAGGAGGAGGAACCCAAATAGGAGGTGGATAACGAGGATGAGGTGGAGGCCAGGGAGGAGGTTGCGGCGGCGATCGCATCAGGAGCACGGGTCCTCATCCTCTGGCAGGCAGGATAACTAGAAGGAGCAGGAGGAGGTTGAGGAACAGATGAGCAGGAGTAGGGAGGCAAGGGAGCAGGAGGAGGAACACGACGAGGAGCACGAGGAGGTATCGGAGAAATTCATCCGCCCCCTCCCCCCTTCTTCCTGCTGCCTCCAAGGGCTTCGGTGACGATGGCCATTGTTCCTTCTCCTCTTCTTCCTCCTCCTCCTCTTCCTCCTCCTCCGCAGCGGTGTGCGAGCGGCTGGTCGCGATCTAACGGGATACGTCCGAATACGTTCCGACCGTGCGTGCGACGGCCGCGCTCAAACCAGAGGCGGGGCTCTCTCCCCCGGGTCAGGGGCAAGCCGAAGCGAGCAGCAGCGCAGTCGGGGGAAAGCAGTGGACGAGTCATGTGCAATGGGCCGCGCGCAGGGAGAGGCGGCAGACGCCGACGCATCGCATCCTTCGGACTGGGAGGCGAAGGCGGGAGGGGTGCTGGCGCGTGCGCGAGGACAGCCAGAGCCCACAGTTAGCAAGAGAGGGAGGCGAGAGACGACAACAAGAGACGACGACGCTGACACGACGAGAGACGACGAGCCCGACGACGAGCCCGACGAGAGCCCACGACGAGCCCGACGAGATCACACACGACGACGAGCACGACGAGAGACGACGAGCCCGACAAGACCCCCAGCCAGAGCCGACACGACGAGAGTCGACGATGCCGATGGCGACATGACGACGGCGATGCCACGCAGGCGCCGCGCCTGTGGCTCGGCGACGCCGGCCGGGCCGGCGCGAGCAGCGACCTGGGGCCGGGCACGCCCTTGGGAGCGAGGCCGGCGCTGGGCGGCTGTGGCCCGAACGTGAAGGTTTGCGGCTGCTGCTGCTGCTGCTGCTGCTGCTGCGGCTGCTGCTGCTGCTGCTGCTGCTGGTCGTCGTCGTCATCGTCGTCGTCATCGTCAGGCTCGTTCGAGGAGCAGAAAACGGCATGCACATGCAACTTTGGAGCTCCGGGCGTTTTTTTTGTCGGATGCGCGCTAGGTTGTCTCGCTCTCCAAGTCCCTGGAGTGCGAGGCCTTCGGCTTCACGAACATCCCTGACTCGACCTCCGACGGCACCTCGGGGCTTGAAGCAGCCCCTCCTCTTCCCTCCCCCCTCCTCCTCTCTTACTCCTTGTCCGTTCCCTCGGATTTCCTCCTCCTCGACCTTCTCTTGCTGCTCTTCTCTCCTCGCACTGATGTCCTCTCTCTGCCCTCCCCTATCTTCTCCCTCGTCCCTCTCCCAATCCCTCCTCCTCCCTCCTCCTTCACCTCGACATCCTTGCAGCGCATCTACCTCGTAACCCCTCCCGGATCTCCTCGCCTCCTGCTCCTCCTGGTCCTCCTCCTCTTACCTCTCTGTGGCCCCCAGGCAGGGCGTGTCTCCGCATCACCGAGGTGCTCCCGGAGGGTCTCCTGGCGGCGTGGAACTCCGCGCGCCCGCAGCAGAGGCGAACCTCATCGTCGTCGTTCGTTGTCCACGTCCTTCTCCTCCGAGGTCCTCACCCTCCTCCTCCCGTTCTCCTCATCCTCTCCTTCCAACGCCACCATGACGGGTAGTAGCACGCCGCGTAGTGAAGGCCATGACGTGCGTTGCGCAGGACGACATTCGCAAGGGCATCGTCTCCGAGCGCCAGAAAGCGGGTAACGGCTGGACAGGTGTGCGAACCAAGATGAGGCCACGCTGCCAGCCCATGCCGCGTATGCGCCTGGGCCTCAGCGAGATGACGGACGACCTGGCGCTGGAACTCCCGACGTAGCTGGGGGCCGCCATGCTGGACGGGGACCCCCTCCTCAGGTCTGCCGCGGCGATGAGGGCCCTGGGCTCGAGGCGATCCGATGTGCACGACGGCTAGGCTGTCCGCCACGCCCTCGCGCCCCTTGTGGAGGCCGCGGCGCCCCATGCGCCACCGAGGCGCGCGACGGGCGCGGTGCCGCGCTGGACTTTGAGGGCGACGTGCGCTGGAGATGCCAGGCTTGCGCCCCCCTCGGCGTGCTGCGGGCCCTGGAGACCAGGCCCTCTCCAAATCCAGCTGGCGAGAACGAAGAGTTTGGGACGTCTCGACCCGCGGCTAGAGAGGCCTCGGGTTGCGGACAGACAGCCACCCCAGCTGGCTGGCCTCAATTGGTCTCCCGAATAGGTCCGAAGGCGGCGGTCTCAACACCCCCATGGCGCGCCGCCCAAGGCGGCGCCAGGGTGATGAGACCGCCCTGGGCTGCTCGGGGGGCCTGCTGAGGCCAGCCAGGCTACCTGGTGGGGCTGTCTGTGCGCAGCCCGAAGCCCTACCACCCGCGACTGCAGTTCTCCCGGTTTCGCCAACGTCTTGGTTTACCAAAAGTCCCCGCTCACGGGGCCCCGACGAGCCTCGGGCCGGAGGCTGGGCCCGGGGCCGGGTCATCCGAGCAGTGGCGACCGAAGTGGTCGCCGCGGCCGCCGGCGCGGCGCCGGCATCCTGGCCTCTGGGGTCGGCGAGCGGGGCGAGCCTGCGCCGGCATGCGATCGGAGGCACCCGAACGATGCGATGACCACACCGACGATTGCAGATTCGGGGAGGACCGCACGGTACTGCGGCATGGGTCGGACTGGGGCCTCCAAGGTTCAAAAGCCGTGCGGTGAGGTCCTTTGGGATTCTGAGGTCACCGCACGGTCTGTCTCCGCACCGAGATGAGGGTTTCGCTGGTGCACCCTCGGATCCAACGTTGGGCGGAGGAATCGGGTGACAACCTGGCTGTATTTGGGGTCTTCTGGCAACCTGCCCGCTCGTTCCCCATGCCGTTGGTGGAAGGGGGGCATCCAGATCGAAGGGGCCGGGCCGCAGCAGGATTCCCTGGGAGGCGCACCGCCGCCTCTGTTGGAACCGGGAGGGGAAGGAGAGTGTCAACGCTTCGTCGACGTTGGGAGCCCGTCAGCGTGCTACGCAGATGGGCTCCCCACGGCGGCGTGTCATTGCTGTTGTCTTTGCTCCTCCATAGCAGGCCACGGGCAGCAGTTGCTCGTTGACCCGCGCGGACTTCTCGGGTCGGCGCTGGGCTCCCCTCCCCGCGCCCCGCGCGTCGCCTCCTGCGCTCCTGCGCTGCCCCGGGAGCGCTCCGCGCGCAGGGGCGGGGTGCGGAAAAGGGGGTCCATCAGGGGCAACGGCAGGGGGGGATCGGCTCAGGGATGGAACATCGGCCCCCAATCGCCCATTTCTGGGCCTGGGTGCTCCACCCTGTCCGGCAACGTGCGGTTCCACCATCGGGGACCCATCGCCGATCTACGGGCAGGTTCTAGGTCGATGTTTTTCCCCCTGAGCCGATCCCCCCTATGCCCCATCGTTCCCCTTCAGTCCAGCGCGGTGATCCGAGAAATCCGTGCGGACCTCCGAGTATCCTATGTCTATGCAGTTCTTTGTGCAGTCTTACGGTCACTGGAGTGCCTCGCTGCGCAAAGAGTGTGGACTGCCGAGAAGGGAGCGCGACTTTGCTAAGGGGTGGCTCCATTAAACTTGTTCGGCCGAAGTTGCGAAAACAGAACGAAACGCATTCTTACGGTTGAAGACCAGAGCTCACCAGTCGCACCTTTCTGATGATGGTGAGCAGCGCGCGAGAGTTCTTTTGCAGCGCTTGCGGATCCAGGGCGCTGTTGGCCCGCGCCACGAGCATCGGAGCGGGTTGCCAGGGCGGACGACACAGAGCTCAGGCGCAGGGCTAGCGCAGGCTGTGGAAGGAGCTTTCCCCCGATCGCCTCTGGAGTCTTTCGGCGACAGGAGCATGGCCAGGAAACCATGTTCGCAGCCGCCACCGCGCACAGCATAGTGGGCATGCTCCAAGGTAGGATCGCGAGCATTCGACGTTAAGCCTAACATGTAGATTATGATTCGGGCAGAGGCCCGCAAATCTTAGTGTGTGAGGCTTGCTTTCGGCTCCGCCCGCTGCTGCCGGGGCCATGGGCGGCCGAGGGGCAGTTGATGCCCTTGCCCCCATTGGCATCGTGACCATCAGCTCCATCGCCATCGTCATCGCCTTCGCCGACCTCCCATCGTACCTCCCATCGTCCACCGTCCTCCCTCTCCTCATCTCCACTTGCCCCTCGCCACCCTCGCCAGCCTCGCCATCCTCACCACCCTCACCATCCCTCCTGCCTCCGCCCTCCGCCTCCGCCCTTTATCCCGCCCTCCGTCTCCGCCTTTCTCCTTCCACGTCCCAATCCCCAATCCCCCTCTTTTCTCCCCTCCTCCTACGCGCACGACGAAACGAAGACGAAGACGGCCCCCTGAGGCTTGGCCCCGGCGACCGCATCTTCTCGGTGAACGGCGTGGAGGTCGGCCGACCCAAGCGCCCCGCAGGCAGCCAGGCAGGCAGTCAGGGTGGGCGGAGGGTGGCAGGGGCACACGGTGCCAGGCGGGCCAAGGCGGGGCAGGCAGGGCCAGAGGCCAGGGGCCAGGGGCGAGGAGGCAGGATGTGGGGAGGGGAGGGGGGAAATGAAAGAGGTGTCCTCCTCCGCCTCCTCCTCCTCCTCATCTTCCTTTTCTCTCCCTTCCTCCCTCCCCCTCTTCCTCCCTCCATTCCTCCCTCCCGCTCTCCCTCCCTCCCTCTCTCCCTCCTTCTCCTCGGACATCGGTTTGGCCCCATTGGGCCTGCGTGCGCGTTTTTTTTGTTCTGCGGACAGGGGTTCGAAGCTGATTTCGCGCCATTGCGCTCGCGGAGACCTTGGTGGCCTTTGTAGATATCCTGGAATATACTGCGCCGCGCCAGCCCGCGCACGCCTTGTGCGTGCCTCTCTATCCCCCTCTCTCTCTCTCCCTTCCTTTCTGTCTCTCGGAGGACGAGGTGGAAGAGGAGAATGCATCGTCGAGCGCGCAAGATGGAGGCACGGATTGAATGGAGGAGGAGGAGGAGGCGAGGAGACGGAGCAGGAAATCATCAGATGGAGGCTGGCCGCTCCTGCCGCGGCAAGCGCAGTGGCGTGCGCCCTCTGCCTCCCCATCCGATGCGGCCAAGCGCTCTTGCAGCTCCTGCGCCGTCTCCCGTCGGGCGCTTTGACACAGGGCCCGTTCGGGCGGATTTGCCAGAACCGCTATCGCAAGACACGGGGCCCGTCCAGGCGGACCGCAACTGCACGAGGGGTGGCCGGTCGAGGGGTGCGGAACTGTGGGCCGAAAGGGGCCACAAGCGGCCCCTAAACTGCAACCGCGGGCCAGTGAGGTGCGAGAGCGGCGCACGCTTGTCCACCCCATGCCTGTTGCCCTCCATCAATGAACACCCGGACTGTGGGGGCTCCTCTTCCACGTTCACATGCCGCACGGGTGTGCGTCCGAGCCCTTTTCTTCCTCGCACTGCCCCCCCTCCCCCTTTCCCCTGCCCCTCCCCTTTTTGTCCTCCCGCCCCCTCCTCTCCTCCCCTCCCCCCTTGCCCCATGCCTTCCCCCTCCTCCTCTCCCTCCTCCGCTCGGCGCCTAGGGTTGCGCACCCGCGGGAGCCCACTCTCTACTCCTCTCCCTCCTTCCCCTCCGCCTCTCCCCCTGCCCCCCTATCCCCCCGCTTCTCCCCTCCCCTCGCCCCTCTCCCCTCCACTCCCCCTCCCCTCCTCACCTCCCTCCCCCCCTTTCGATTTGCAGCGGCGCCGCAGGAGGACCTGGTGGGGATGAGGGACCTCCTCTGCGGACCCACCGTCACGCTCCTGGCGGAGACGGCCGGCGGCGGCCCGTTGCTAGCCGCTGCGTCGCCCGCTCCAGGCGAGGAAGCCCTCTGCCCATTGGCCCATAGGCCCATTCCTAGGCACTGGACCCCTTCCCCTCGTGAACAGAACACGACGGACGCTCTTGTTCATCGTTTCGGCCTCTGGGGTCCCTCGACAGGCCCCAGGACCGCCCAATGTCGACTCAGGATGAAGCACCCGGCCCCGAGGAATGGGTCCAGACCTTCAGGGGTCCACGTGAGGCATTCAATCATGACGTCGCGGGGGTCTGGGTTTGTCCATGTGTCCATCTCGATTCGATCGAGCCGATCCGGTATTTGAGTCTGGCCGGTTTTTTCGAGCGTTTTCGTCCGGTCCTGGAGGTGTTCTTGCCTCGGGATGCGTTCCAGAGGCTGCGCCTCGCCGAGGGCGTTCCAGGAATGGCCAGATCGTCCCGAACGGCCACCGGAATCCCGAGTTATGGCCTGAAAGCCGAGTGCCTTTTCCAGGGTCCATCTCGATTTGATCGATCCGATTCCAGATTGTTCTGGCCCGATCCGATTCGATTCCGGATTTCGAGCGATCCGATGTGGCCTGGTGCCTGCATGGCCCTTTTGTATTTTGGCGCAGCCGATCTGCGTCGAGTTCGACTCCGTGCCGAAACGGTCCAGTCCGACGCACGCTCCGATTCGAATCGATTTCCCGTTTTGATGCTGATTGATTCTGCCCTCGTCGACCCTCGCCTTTCCCCACTCAGTGCCTGCACTGATGAGGGTCCTCGCAGAGGCTGTGAAGGCATTTGGCGGAGCTTCTAACCAGAGTCGGTGGGCTCTGGGCGCCGAGATTCCCAAGATGGTGAGGATTGGCGGACGTGTCGGACCGAGTTTGGATGGGCGGGGTTTCCTGGTAGGCAGGAGTGCGCCACAGATTCTGTGGGTGGCTGAGTTCTCAGGTTTACGGTTCAGTTCGGTGCCTTGGGTTCCCAGTACTGCAGCGATTTTGTCAAATGATGCCGCCGACTCCGGTGAGCGGCCATGTTCCAGCGTTCTTAGTCCGCGGTCTTAGTGAAAGTTCCCCGCCGGTTCTGCTGGTGGTCGGCCAGGTTGCAGAGTCCCCAGAGCAGAAAATAACTATGAGAGAGAGAGAGAGAGAACGAGAGAGAGAGAGAGAAAAAACATAGAGAGAGATCAGGGCAAGTATAGTGCGCATGTACATCTCACATATCTAGACATTGGCGTTGAGGGGTCATGGGGCATATCGCGAAGTGCAGAGTACTGAACGCATATACCGTGTAACAAGAGAATATAGGAGATGGGGCGAGTAGAGCCTACGAGTTAGTAAGCTGATAGTGCCGGGTAGAGTGCTGGTGTAGGGGGAGGACCGTGAGTATAGCTCAGGAAATGGAAAGCGGTCATTCCACATATATATATATATATGTACGCACACATATAGATATGTATATCGGAGGTTGGGGGTGAGATCGCAGTGAAACGGAGACCCCCCACTGGGTAATCGGTTTCGGTTTCGTGTTTGTGTCGAGCGTGCGGGCGAGGCGAAGCTACGCGTGATCCTCCTGTAGCTAGGCCGAAGTAGGAGCGAAAGTCCGTTCCCGTCCGCCGGTGGCTGGGAGGTGTCCCAGTTGGGCGGGGCGGTGTCCCGAGTGTCCTGGGTGTCCCGGGTGTCCCGGGCGTCCCGGCGCTAACGCATGTCGCTAATTTCATAATTCATTTTTTTCGGCGCTTGCGGCGGGCTTTCTTTTCCAATCCAGCTTATCTTATCCAATCCATCTTGTCCTATCCAATCCATCTTATCTTATCCAACCCATCTTGTCCCATCGTATCTCATCCCACCCAATCCAATCCACCCAACCCAGTCCATCAAATCATTTGTTTCTGCGCCTGCGGCGGGCCAATCCAATCAATCTTATCTTATTCAATCCATTTCTTCCATTCCAACCCATCTTATCGTATCCAATCTATCTTATCCCATCCAATCCAATCCACCCAACCCAATCCATCAATTCATTTTTGTCGGCGCCTGCGGCGGGCTTCCTTATCCAATCCAGCTTATCATATCCAATCCATGGTTGTGCCGATGGTTGTCTTGTGGTTGTCCGACAACAGATAGTTTCTTTTGTTCGCGCTTGCGGCGGGCTTTCTCATTTTGTTTTCGAGGTCGATGGTGAGATCGACAGTGAGATTCACCGATAGGTCGGTCGACGGATAGGTAGATAGTGGGGATTCATCGTCATCGCGGTCATCATTGTGGTGGACGGAGACTCCGATAGAGAGGGAGGGAGAGAGAGAGAGAGGGCGAGAGAGAGAGAGAGAGAGCCACAGAGAGAGAGAGAGAGAGACACAGAGAAAGAGAAAAATGATATAAAGGTGACAGGCTGGAGGCCAGTCAGGGTGGGCATTTGATTTCAATCCCTCCCAAACCTCCTTATCGCCCGCAGGGTGGTCGTATAGGTATATATATATATAGAGAGAGAGAGAGAGAAAGAGAGAGAGAGAGAGACAAGCAAAAAAAGAGAACGCCGATGGTGCATAGCCGAGAGCACAGATCGTGACAACCACATATGTCATTCCTAAGGCCCGCAAGCAGCGCAGCGCCGGCAACATCCAAAGCGCGAGTAGCTGTTTGGCGCTCACTCCAGACTTGCATCCCTCTTGCTCAGCGCCCAACCAGTGCGTGAGTTGCAGGGAGCTCTCGCGCATCGCTGTATGCACCTCGTTGAAATTGGCTGTCGGTTTCGGTGAGCGGCCAAGTTCCTGGGTTCCGGACTGAAGAAAGGGGTTCGTGCGGAGCTTGCAATTTGCATAAGGACCCACCCCGTGCCACCCTGCCTGACGGCCCGTTCCGCCACCCCCACGCCTGACGGCCTGTTCCGCCACCCCCCCGCCCAAGTAATTCAACCACTCACACCACACGACCCGCGAAGGACAGCCCTACACCCCCACGTGGTCTTCCCCCCATGCTCATTGCACAACCTGGAGCATGGTGCAAAAGTGGGCCGCCAGTTCTTGGTAGGCGGCTGGGTGCCCGGACTCGCGGGGCCCCGGCTCCCCAGGTTCCCCGTTTCGGACTCTTGGGCGCGAGGGCTCCCTGCTGCAGCCAGGCTCCGGGGCCTCGAGAGCATAATTAGTCAGGGAGAGAGAGAGAGAGAGAGAGAGAGAGTGGTAAGTAGAAAGCAGAAGGTTGATCATACACCCCCTCGGCCTCCAGAGCACCCCGTCACGAGGCCCAGAAGGGGGTCCCAGGCGCTTTCGCGTGGAGCGAAGAGCTGGGGGCACCTTGGGCAATGGGGCGCCTCTGACAGCCCCCGATTCGGCCCTCGAAGGCGAGGCCATTTCCGGAACGCTTCAATGTGGTGCCAGAAGACGCGGCCGGTGGGGCCCTGGTGCTTCACCCAGCCTTCCCTGTCCAGGTCGGGCGCCCGCACCACGGGGGCGCCCTCGGCGGGGAGCGTGCAGCGTAGAGTGTGAGAACAGTGGAAAAATTAAAAGGAGGGTGGTCCAGTTTCAACATGTGGTTCCCGCATGAGTGCCGCACGCATTATTGGCTGGAAAAACATGAAACAGTTACAGGGATGGGGGCGGGCGGTGGGCCGTTTTCAAAAACTGCATTCTCGCCTCAGCTCAGCGAGCATTCGTCTGACAATGTTTCACACGTTGCCTAGGTAGAGGAACACGTGTTTTTAAAATGTTTGCCAGCGTGGGCCCGGTGGTCTTGTACTGTGGATGTGTTCATGAGCCATGTGTTGCAAGCTAGAGTGTGAAAGCAATGTGGTGTAAGCTATGCGGTCCAGCATACGTGGTGCAAGCTAGAGGCGGCAATGAATCGGCACCGGGCCACAATGTGGCGAAACCCCGAAACCTCGCCGAACCCACCCAGCGCGCGAGGCGGCCTCGGCGGTAACGTGGCGAAATCTCGCCGGACCCAACCAATTCCTTGGTGAGAGAAGAAAAATCCGTAAGTGCGAGCACTTTTTAAGGGAATGTGGACATCGTTTGGGAACTCCGCAGGCTGTACGCAACAACACTTGCCTCTGCTGGCAAAACGGGGCTCCCGCTGAGGACATTTGGCATGTGTCTGGCCAGGACTGTCAGGTGTCCTGCAGCTATGCGAAGGGCAGTTCTTTTTCAAAGCGGAGCTCGCTGTGAAATTCCCGTGAGCCACATGATCGAACAGATCGGCTTCTTCACTGACTAAAGGGATGGAGGGCAGTTCTGCTTCAAAGCGGTGACCTCGCCTGAATCACATGTCAATGGGGCGCTCGTCTAGTAAGGGGTTGTCCCCCGTAGTTGAGTTAGACTTGGCATGCGTTTTGCAGGAGGCGGCTTGGGACAGGAGCACGTGCTGCAGCATCGCAGATGAATCATATGCTCATTATGGTCTCTCCTCTTTCTCTCGCACGTCCGTCGGGACCCCCCCACACACCCGGCCCGCGCCCGGGCGCTCGAGGCCCCCGCCCAGGCCGCCGCGTTCCGCTCCCTGCCTCCCGCTCCACTGCCAGAGAAGTTGGCACGCGCTGGTCAGCTGCAGCAGTCCCTGCCTCCAGCTCGCTCTGGGCAGCAGTTACTGTAGATCACAGGTTGTGCAAATTTCACAGCTCTTCTCACACCACACCACCACCGTTACACTACGCACCTGGTAGATGACGTCCCTTTGCGCCAGAACGCGTCCGAGCCCGAATCCTCCGGTTCTTGCGCTCGGTTTCGTCCAGGGTGGTTGTAGCTTTCTTGGCCTCCGTTTCTGTGGAAAGACTGACCTGGCCGTATCCGTACGATCTGCTGTAGTAGACGGTCCCGTCCTCTGTGGGCACTCTGCAGGATTCGACGCTGCCCGCTTGCTTCATGTGGCTCTTTAGGTCGCGCCAGTCGACGTCGTAAGACACTTTTCCTACGTAGACTTGGTTTGTAGTTGATGACGTCGGCTCGTCTACGGCTTGCCCCTTCTGCTGCCATTGTCCCTTCTCGCACTCCCTGCCCGCACCGCGGCTGGCTTGCGACGTGCCGCTGTGGTTGTTTAGTGTGTATTTGTCCCCCCACATCCTCG